GTATCTCAGAAACGGTGGCTCTAAGAAAAAAAAGTATTGATACATTTTTTGTAGAGAATTTTATGATCTACAATTTTTATCTGAGGTTATTTTATGATAAAACTTACCGTTTTCCTGAAAATCGCGAAAAACCAATTTTTTTCGAGATTTTTGACCTCGAATAATTTTTTTTCCAGGCATCGCAATCATTTGGAATTTTAAAATCTTAATTTTAACTATGTTTTAAACCATTACACGCATTTGCAGCTTGTTGTAAATTTATGTACCTTCACTCTTATTTTTTAGTCTAATTTGACCGGACTGTTATGTTTATCTTTTTATTTGAATAAATACAGAGCACATAGTTTTTTTACCAGAATACATTTCAAATCTCCAAACAGTTGCTGAAACTGATGGAATTTTTGTCACATTTTTAATTTCAAAATGAGTTGGTATAGGTATTTCGTTTGTGATATCTCCTCAAATTTTAATTCTGTCTGTGGACACTAATCCCCTACAGTTCCATATTTTAATATTCTTAACATGATGGAAAGCGGTGACATCAAAATGGTTTCTTCTGAATATATTAACAACTATCGATTTCACACAACATAACATGTGTTCAGTGTTACTATATTCATTCGAGTTTGAAGGCCGTCGTAGTTTGGATTTTTTTTTAATTTTTCAACATAGTTTCCTTTTAACTCTACACACTTCTCCCAGCGATGCTCCCATCTCTGTAACCCGCCCAAATAGTACTCGGCGTTTTTCTCTGCAAAATAATTGTTCATGAAGGTGATTGACTCTTCATTTGACGGAAATATCGTGTCCTCTGAGCGCAATTTTCAGATGAGGGAACAAAAAGAAGTCGTGGGGCTAGATCTTGTTGCGTCTTGGTGAAACACGATTTTTTTCCTGCAATAAATCCAAAACTCAGATTTATTGCGCCTAAACTGCGCCAACAGAACATTGAAAATGTTCATTCGAATACGTTTTTGGTCTAACGTGAGCAAACGCGGCACACAACGCGCGGACAATTTTCTCGTGCCTAAATGTTGATATAGAAATGTGACAAACACGTTATTTTGAAAAGTTTATAATTTCTGATATCTCTCTCTTACTTCAATTCGACGGTCTTTTAGCACCATTCAGTGAACTTTGACGATGTTTTCGTCGGCAGTTGCAGTTTTTGGATGTTCATCGTCTCCAAAGCTCCTAGGGCCACGTTTGAATTCAGCTGCCTAAAATTTCACTGTGGTAAGTGATGATGCAGAGTCCGCATACACAGAATCTTTGATTTGCGTAGGCGTATTGCCTTCCAAAAACAAATTTTTAATGGCAGCTCTATACTCGATTTCGTCCATTTTCATAAAAACACTCATTGAAACGATTGTTACATAACAATTACGCGTCCAAAATGGCTGAAACCTTAGTTAGTAACTGTCAGATGAACAACGAAATTCACTAGCTTTTATTTATGAGTGTTGATATTTTCATTTTGAGGTCGGAAACTTTTCCGACCGCCCTGGTACATATATATGTATTGGAAAATATGTTTGTTACTTTCTGGCTTCAGGCACTCATTCACGAAAATGACTTTGAATTCTATATGTTCAACGCTATAACTAGATCTCAAATTACAATTTTTTATTGCTCTTTCAGGTGCGGAACAATGATATTTTACTCGAGAGTTTCAGCGACGAGGACGAAGTCACAACGGACAAGGAGAAAATAACATCTGACGCGCCCACCGAAATAAGGGATCTGCTAACCAGAAAAGTGGAACTGGAAAAGAGAAAAAGAAGCCATGATCTACACATGCAGAGGGTGAAGGTAAGCCCGATAATTGATATCAATCTGCCTGGTAATGTATCGCTGTCGGGTGAAATTTAATTTTGAATAAAGAATTTTGTTTCGCCACTCGTACCTGCAGGCAGTTTATGTCTTGCTGGAAAGCTGAATCTATTCGACATTCTATCAGATATTTAAATTATGTTGTGGGAGCTCGCTCTCGTCTCGATAACCGTCATCATTCGTGAATTAATCTCGCTTCACTCTCATCTAATGCTTGCCTCTAGGCTGGTTTACACTAGATGTGTCTTTCTTCATGATGGCGGGTTTATAATATTTATTTCATTTTTGATCGAAATACTTTTTTATTTAAGTAATGTAGGTGAAAAGGCAAAGTGTTACTTACTGTAAGAGTTTCTCTACTCAACTTTAGGGAGTAATAAATAAAGAAAAACAAATAAAATATATTCTTTGACATATCTGTAATCAAGTTGATAAAAAAATGGATCCTGTTTTAATGTTACTTCTGTAGTTTTTGTCGTTTATTTTAAATACAACACCAACCGGTTTATATACAATACTTGCACTCATCTTACGTATTGACTATCACTACTAATCTCATCGCCACACTCTCTGGACCAGGAATCGTACGGTTGAAAGGTAAGACTTAGTTGATCAAAGAATTTAAATCAGTCTGGAAGTCTATGACAAGGAGAGGTATATATGAATTAAGAAATCTTATATTTCGAATTAAACGTTTACCTCTTCCAGAACAGATCCAACAAAGTGCAGCGTATATTTTATTGACGCTGCACCACATATAAGAAAGAAACCATCGTCTGAGGCATGATCTGTTTTGACCCTCGTGAAGTAGTAATAGTTCCATTTAGTGAACATCCAAACATCCTGCACTACATTCAATTTTGATGATTTTTGTTCACTAATTTGCCTACATCTATATACATTTATTCGATACCTTCCTATGTATCTTTATAACTATGTAACGGATTTTAATGCGAGTTTTTCAATAGGTACAGTGTTTCAAGAGAAAGGTTTATATGTCTATAACATGTGATGTAAATAAAAATATGTTTTGCGCTTATATTGCAAACTCTGGCTGAACCCTACGAGATCAAAATATGTACCACAGTTTTGTATACCTTGAATAGGTCTACAAAAAAAGTCCGTCTAATGCTTGTACTCTCAGGAAAAACCCACAATAACCATTTTTTATCCTTTACTTTTTTACGAAGCGATTTTAAGCAATACAGCATCAATCCTTATCCAATTACCTACCGTAAATACATTGTGAATTCAATATAGATCCATATGGCACTTCACAGCATGTGATTCAAAATGAATGTTTTCGGGAATTATTACAGATTTAAAATGCAGGGACATAGCGGTTGCGGCGGTACCGGTCGCTTGCCGGCGGCGCGTGCCCATAATTGGCACGTCGAAGGCCGCGCTTCGCCATATACTCCTAGCACTTTATGATCAGTAGCGATCGCACTCGTTTATATGTATATTTATTATCAGTATTGCACGCATGCGGTGCCGGGGCGGCTCGCTAAATGGTGTTCAAATCATTGTCACCTTTATGACGTTCGTTGTTGTATGTCACATATATATATTATACATATTAAATCATTTTCTTTAAGCTGATAAAAATCTACATATCTGCTGACGAAAGATACTAGTAATTCAAAATAACGTTATTTCAAGTCCTTTTTGGAAGATATCATTTCAGGAATATGAAACAGACCAATTATTTTGGTCCTTTTTGAAACGACTCATAAATTTTGTATTCATCGTCATCTGAAAGACTTTTTGCTTTGAGATGTTACATATAATTTTTTTGTTGATTGAAATAATCGGTCGAACACTAAACATCATGATTATATTACATATCCCATGATATTTTTTTAGTTGATAGAAATGCATATTTTTTCAGTCATTGAATGTTTCATTTTCGTATTATTACGAACAGATGATTATTAAATTTTTGAAAGTGGAACTCATGGAAGACCATCTTTTAAAAAATTCATTAAGACCAATCATTTAATTTTCTTATAGCTAATAGCTTATATGTGATTAAGACCGTCACCGGTGAGATGTTCATTTTGGGAAGTAATATTTACATGCTTCAAATATTTAATTGTATCGCAAACACATCTCATATGAAACCATCTCCTGTGAGCTGATGGAAATGCGTTGTTTTCAATTTATAAGATTTTTATTTCCATAATAGTAATGTTAATATTATAAATTGAACTATATTCGAGGATCAGAGTTATTAAAGTGACAATGAATTTCCATATAACAAGTCCATAATGAAAACGACATTTGAAGAATGTTGAGAAAATATACCCCTTTCAAGTGGAGAAATGCATACCAACTCACCAAGTTCAAATATTTTTATATTATCTCGCGTTTCTTACTTGGTATCTTTAATAAACAACACTAACACTTTTTCTGCAATTCTGAAATTGAACATAACATATCACTATGCAACTACAGTTCATTTGGAATTCAATGCAAATCATTCAAACCATCCGTACCTTGGTCCAAACGTAAAAAAAATATTAAGTATGAAAACCTTAGAAAAGATCTAATAAATTACTACTGGCAATTTTTTCATACTCTTAATGATCCCGATGAAATGACAGATCCATCAATCAATATATTGAAAGACGTTATTGCCAAAAATACAGTATCTTTATGACGGTATAAAATACCGTCATAAAGATATACACATAAAACCCTGGATCACTCAAGGTTTGGTAAGGTATGTAAATGAAAGAGACAAATTATTTCATATTCTCAAAAACAATCCAGGAAATCCAAACCTGAAAGAAGAATATATCAGATACCGAAACATCCTTGGCATACTATTAAAAAATGCCAATCAAAAATATTATCAAAAGATCATAGAAGATAATAAACAAAATAGCCAAGGTATATGGAAAATTGTTAAAGAAAATAATGAAAATAAAAAAAATTGTGAGATAAAAGAAATAATTAATGAAAATAAAGACATTATTAAAGATAATGAAGCAATGGCTGATACTTTCAATAGATATTATGCTTGTGTAGGAAAGAAATATGCAGAAAATATCACACCGCCGCCCACTCCTCCACCCAGAAAATAATAGATATCCGCATCAATTTTTTTCAACCTAGTCAACGACAAGGAAATATTAAGTATTATCATGACCCTCAAAAAAAAGAAAGCCCCTGGTATAGATAAAATATCTGCTGAAACATTGCACCATATCAAAGATCAAATAACAAAACCTATAAGTACACTTGCAAATAAAACTCTAGAAAAGGGGATATTTCCTAAAGCATTCAAAGTGGGAATCATCAGGCTAATGTATAAAAGTGGTAATAAAAATGAAGTCTTGAGTTATCGCCCCTTCACTCTAATTTCCAACTTGGCAAAAATATTCGAAAAGGTGATTAAAGCTAGAATCGAATGTTTTTTATCCAAAAATAAATTATTATCTAACAATCAGTTCGGCTTCAGAACGGGGCTGTCAACTCAGGATGCTATTCTGCTGGTCACTTCTAATATCTATAAAAATGGTAAACCTTCATACTCTTCATTATTTATATTAATGAAATACTTACCTTAAACAGTTCTGGTACCCTATGCAGCTTTGCTGACGATACCGTTATTATATATGAATCGGAAACGTGGAAAGGTTTAAATGAAAAAGTAGAACAGGATTTGAATTTGATCGTAGACGCATTCAACCACAAAATACTCAACATCAACGTCTCAAAAACATGATTTCTTGCTGTACATGTTACGCAAACAAACTACCAACATTCGAATCTTTATCAATTCATAACCACGGAAAATATATAGAAATAAAACAAGCGGAAAAAGTAAAATATCTGGGAGTATATATTGACAGGCACATGAGATGGGATATACACATCCAACGAACAGTACAATCTCTGAGAGCCATGTTATCAACATTCAAAAACTTGAAAACACTTCTAGGTGAATATCACTTAAAAATAATATATCATACATTTGTTGAATCACGATTATCTTATGGAATAATGGGATGGGGTTCTGCTTCCCCGTACCATATGAAGCAACTTGAAGTAATTCAGAAAAAGATTCGGAAGATCATATGTGGTGAAAGCCTCAACGCTATTCGTCGGATTCACTGTTTTCGGAATGTAAAATTTTGGATGTACGCCAACTCTATTTCCTAAGAACAGTTACACGAACATTTCAACAAAAAAATACTTTATTATTGATTGACCACAGATATGACACAAGACTAAAAACAAAAAAATGTGTAAGAGTTCCTTTTCAAACGAAAACAGTGGGACAGAGAAGCTTATATAATGTAAACAATGAAGTAAATAGTGGTTACATAAGTTTATTGAGATGTCTCTAGTAGTAATTAATACGATTTTGAGCATATTTTCATGATGTTTTTATGACGCTGTTCACCATACTCAAACTTTCCATCATATCTTAAACGTATCTATGATTCAGGTTATTTTCTAGTTATATGACGCCGATAATTGGGGCTTATTGCACCAAGAGAAACGTATTGTGCGTTCGTTGACGTATACAAAAAAAAGTTTTTTGGGTCGTCGTCGCATTCTTATGCGACCATCGCTGGCCTCTGTATTAGTACTTTGAGTTGTTTTCGCTCATTCGAGGTTCATTCTATCTTGACTTCAGCCCTATTGAAGGTTACTAGGTAAGGAACGAAATTACCTAGTTATTATAATAATGATCGTCTTTATTGTTTTCCAGCAATAGTTACATACAAATATTTAGATAAATTGCAAGTCCAACATCAAATAATCGTGATATTGAAAAATGCCCAAAGAGTTTATCGTTAGTATCTGCTAGCATTAGCATTTCAAAATAGTTCTTTCGTGTTTGAGAATAGCAAGTTGACATCAATTTTTTTGTAGGAAAACTCGATTGTTCATTACATGTTACATTTGTTCTTTTGTATTTGGACATACCTAGTTTTAGGTTACAAAATGAAAACATATTTTAA